ATAGGCACGTTCACACCGGAGTACTTTTCCCCTTTAGTTCCGTTAGTACCCCTTATGTTGCGTTCACACCAAAAAGAGTACGTAGTGCCGGGAACTTTTACCCCCATTTTTAGTGCCTGCGAGAGAGGTGGTACCAAAAAAGTACCAATTTCTATTGGCTGGGCGAATTGCAAACCACGCCCTGTAAAAAAAAATGATCTGTGAAGCCGCCATTGTATTTGTGGAGTTAGCATTAGCATCAGCCCCGCGCACCAACGCAGAGAGACTAACTTATGGCAACACAAAAGAAAACATGGGAGCGGTGGAGTGATGAGGAGGTGTCGGCGTTCTGGCGATTTACTCGGAAGGCAGTCCCCAACTCCGAGGACTTCCGGCCGGGGACTTCGGGTGGCAGTATACGCCGTGAAGTTGTTTGCGGCCTACCTTGGTTGGTGATTGGCTAATGGTTACACAAGACAAAACATCGTTATGACATCATCAAGTGGCCAAAATCTGATCAGCTCATTTTCAGACAGGTTTTTATAGAAATGGATCAGGACAAAAAGAGAGAGAACTTTTGTTCCTGAAACTTTCAGAATCTCTTTACACGGAGGGGACACATGTTGATGTAGAAGAGACATGAAGAAGTGGATTTTTCATAATAGGTGACCTTTAAAAGCTCCAGTGTCCCTAACAGAAGTTCCCTCCATTGTTACTGCTGGTGGAAAGGGAGACGGGGAAAGAGAATAAGGATGAGATAGAGGAGGATGAGGATGAGGAGGGCTGGTGGTTATGGAGGGCCGCGGGCAGGGATGGCAGTGACAGATGCAGGGTTGGTTTCCGCAGGGCTGGCACAGGCAGGAAGGCCCAGAGAGGGAGAACAAAGAGGGGGACGCGGTGACCCTGTGCCTGGGTGCATCCTGCCCCCCAACCAGAGAGCCACGCTGGGTGATTAACACTTCCCCCGGCCAGGCCCATCACTCAGGCTTTATTACTTTGTTTTGATTCCTCTGCTATCTGCTGAAACCGCACTCTATTGAGGATGACAGTGAAATTGATGTTGGCAGGGAGTACTGGCACACCGCTGTTTATATTTCAGGGAGATATAGGAAACAATATGGCTGGTGTTTCACATGATATACCAGAAGAGGTATTACAAAGTGGGGTTAAGGAGTCCCTTGTTGTACTCCATCAGGTCACCTTCACTACAGACGTTTACATCACTTCAGTCGTTTGAACACCTTGTCTTGTAAAAGAAAACGTCATAATAAAAATAAATATGCCAGATTAATTAATCAGTCAAGTATCTGTCGGATAGTCCAAATCCAGTCTCAGGTCAGAGCCATGTCTCTATTTGGTAGAGACAAGCCAAAAGGCCTAGTCTGCACATGCACAGGTAAATGTTTTTGTTCATGTTGTAGTTCTCCAAATGCATAATTTGTGATGCCTCACAAAACCATATAACTGTGTAACACTCAGCTAAACATCTTCACCCTAGCTGGAGTTTCCCAAAAGCTCCATTTGTTGTGGATGAAAGCTCAAACCGCATGGAAAAAGCTCATTCAAGTTAAAGTCTTGAACAACAATTTTCATTAAAAGCTATGTTGGTATTGCGTTGAAGAAAGGCCTGACACTGCCTGTTCAATACATTTTCTTATTTGCCTGTATTTGATTGTTCTCTTAATATGTTTAGCTCCAAAACACCAAGCCAAATTCATTATGAGTGAAAACTGGCCATAAACCTCATTCTGATTGTGATTCTGAAGTCTAGTGCCAGTAAGCAACACAATGATCCTATACCACTTCAGCTTTCTCCTATAATCAAACCTGATACCTGTAAACTCCTTAAGCATCACATTTAAATATTTCATTCTTACATATCACCAACTGGAATCAGGCACACACACACACACACACACACACACACACACACACACACACACACACACACACACACACACACACACACACACACACACACACACACACACACACTCACCAACTGCCCACAGCACAGAGTCGTAGGTGTCCTTGTGTTCGCTGCCCGTGAGTGTGTCGGTCCAGGTCACCTGCAGAGCTCCTGAGGACAGCTTGTCCACTCTCTTAGGGACACACTCCTTCACAAACTTGGTCCCATATGCTTCCATGTAGTCCGTCACTAGACCTGCCATTTGCTGCAGAAACCAGAAGAAAACATTCCATTATTATGTAGAATATGTGGTGCTTAATTTACATTATTTAATTTCATATTCTGTTCTTGTACATATCCTATATTCTATTGAGATGTATGTAGACTTTTTGCACTACTTCTTAGTTTGTGTTTTATTATATATGTTGCATTGTTGGAGGGGCTCAGGTCAGAAGAATTTAATTGCCATTTCTAAACTGTAGCTTTGTGCATATGACAATACAACCATATAATTAAATTTGAGGTGTTCTATAGGCGGCAAAAAGCTTAGGATGGTTGCATCAAAAAGTAAAACAACTCCACTGCATTTATGACCAACAACATCCTCCATCCAAAATCTTTTTTTCCCGGATGTTGTCACAAACAAAAAAGAGTCTTAATTCCTAAAGAGATCACATGTGTGTGCTTTCAACCCAGTTTACAGAGTCTTTACCAAATTGCATTGCCATTTCTACACTGTAGCTTTGTGCATATGACCTTTGAATCTTTGAATCTTGAAACTGTAGTTCAGGGAGCAATACCTGATCAAACCCCCGGAGGGCGATGCTGCGGACCATCACTGTGGCGTCCAATCCAATGCCTGTGAGGAAGCCGGCACACTCCAGAGCCACATCTGAGCAACAGAAGGTTCAGGAATACTCAAGTCTTTTCGAAGATTGCATATATACAAAAGCACCTGATGTTAGGATACAATAAAAAAACAGACACGGAGGAATAAATAAAACAAGATAATGGTTCAATTAGATTTAAAAAAACGTCACGTTAGTTAATTTTTGCTTACCAAGTGGCCATAAAGTCTGATTGAATGGTTTTGGTGTAAGCTGCAGATTTGAGATACAACAAGTGCTAAGGGTTATTCAGAAATACTGGTCTATTGATTACATTTGTATTAAGTTCATAACTTTACTGTTTCTCTCCCGATTTCACAAGCTCTCTGGCAGACAAAGGATACAGCTAGCTCCAACCACAAGCCTGCAAAACAGAGATAAAGACAAGCTGTTAGCCACACAGACAATACGACAGCAATTAATGTCATCATTTGTGCAGCACACTTCGGCCAAATAAAATACAGCACGTCCAAAGTTGAAAACGTTGGCTTTTAAGTTAGAGAGGTGATGAATATTCAAATATCATAACCTTAGAGGGAGGTGAGGACGTGTGAATAAACAGGGGACAGTAAGAGGTGTGTGTATGTGTGTATGTAAGGTACGTTTATTTATATCGCACCTGTTCAGACATAGACATGCATACAAGAGAATTAAAATTAAAAAGAATTAAAAACAACATTGTAAATACAGTAGGGGCTGAAACAAGTTAAAAGACTTCTGGGTAAGCAGCTGAAAAAAGTAGTGTTTTTAGCCTCGACTTAAAAGAGCTCAGCGTTAGTGAAGTGTGTGTGTGTGTGTGTGTGTGTGTGTGTGTGTGTGTGTGTGTGTGTGTGTGTGTGTGTGTGTGTGTGTGTGTGTGTGTGTGTGTGTGTGTGTGTGTGTGTGTGTGTGTGTGTGTGTGGTCCAGGTGAATCACACTTCATGAGGNCCTGTTTCCAAAGTGCTAATTCTCTGTCTGTTACTTTAGATGAAAATAAGGAGCCCCTCCCCACGCCCCTCTGAGAGATATTTGGTTAAAAAGAAAACATTGTTTTCTTTTTAACCAAATATCTCTCAGAGGGGCGTGGGGAGGGGCTCCTTATTTTCATCTAAAGTAACAGACAGAGAATTAGCACTTTGGAAACAGGGCTGAAACAGAGGGGATTATGGGTAATGCTGCAATGATCTGTTTGGTGTTTCAGCCAATCAGAGACAGGTTCTGTATATATCTGAGACCTGTGATATATTGATGAAAAACAGTATAATAGGGAACCTTTTTAAAGAGAGTGCAGTGCTTCTGAAAATCTGACTACAAGGCCTTTCCAGGGCACATACTGTCACTTTGAGTGTTGTGGGGAGGGGGGTAGGAGGGATGAGGGTCTTTTCTCTTGCTCTATGCGTGTGACAGCGACAAGGATGTGTGTGACCCTGCAGGAGGAATGACGTTGGTTCTTCCCTCCCGTAGCTCAATTCCCACATGGTCTCAGCGTGAGAGTGCAGCTGAGAGTGATATGAGAGCATGTGTCAGAAGGTGCTCTGATGTGCGTGAGATGCTGCAGTCCTGATGTTTCCTATCTTTAGAGCAAAAGATTTCATAGCAACTCAACAAAGAACTTGACATTTTGTACCTGGCAAACTAGTTTTGATTTCAATCAATAGTGAACCAAACTTTCAAGTATCTTAGACTATTTTTGACTGACATGACACTGACTAATTTCTTTACAAGCAGTGTAGTTTAAACAAATCAAAGAGGCATGTCTTTATAGTCTGGATTCTTAAAGTAAGCCCTAAATCCAAAAGCATTTTTTAATATGAAGAAAAACATTTAAAAAACAAAAAAAGGTCATTAAGAATAAAAAAAAAAATATCTACCAAAATAATAATTAATAATAAATAAAAAATGAAATTCAAATATAGTTATAATATTACGGGGGATAATCATTAACATAAAAAATATATAAAATGCAGCCATTATTAATATATGTTATATTATGAATCATTCTTAGTTTGTCCCATAGTATCATCAGTTTAATCACCACAACTTTAAATTCAAAACTGTCGCAAATTAAGTCATAACTCACACACAAATATCCTTATATTAGTGTGCCGTGAGGACTGTATTCGAGCCCCCTTTTGTTCCCATACAGTCAGAGAGAAGCAGTAACTCCTGCCCTTTGATGTGAGCGAGCAGGAGTTATGAGACCAAGGCCACTTCCCTTTACTGTGACCTTACACTAGGGGCCAGGCGGGGTCTCGGGCCCCTGTGGAGTTATTAAAGGCCAGAGGGGACCGGGGACAGTATCACCGCTGCCTGCTACATCCTTCTTTCAGACCCTGCCTCCCTCCACCTTTCCCCTGCTCCTTCCTGGCCTCACTGGGTGCACGTTCAAGGTCTTTGTCGGATTTTGTGTCCAAGGATGTATTTGTATTATTTTCACTCAGCCTCTCACTTCGTTTTTTCAAACGATGCAATCTGCTCTTTGACTTTTTACTAGCCTGTACATAATAATATAATAATAATGATAATAATAATAATAATAATAATAATAACAATACACATTTCACAAATTGCCTCACAAGTA